CAAGGGTGGCAGGGGCGGCGGCGGCGGCGGCCGAGGCGGCGGCGGCCGAGGCGGCAGCGGCCGAGGCGGCGGTGGCGGCGGCTTCAAGAGTGGCGGCAGTGGCGCCCGCAGCAGCGGGGGCGGCAGCTTCAAGGGCGGCAAGCCTGGCGGCGGCGGCTTCAAGGGCGGCAAGCCTGGTGGTGCTGGCGGCGGCTTCAAGGGCGGCAAGCCTGGCGGCGGCGGCGGCTTCAAGGGCAAGGGCGGCGGCGGCGGGCTGAAGCCTCGCGGCGGCGTCAGCAAGGGCGGCGCCAAGGGCGGCAAGGGCCGGCGGTAGCAGCCTTCCTGTGCCTCTTGATGCGCCATGCTGCAGCCGTTGATGGCACTGCCCACGCGTATTGTAACCCTTTCAGGCATTGGCAGGAGAGGCCATTGTGGGCCCCGTGGCAAGGGGTGCCCGCTCACCTCCCTGGGCACAGCACACCCCAGCAGGCAGCTGATGCACCATTTTGGAGCCCTGAAATCGAAAAGGTATCTCTGATAGAGAGCCAGGGCATTGATTAAGGCAGGGCCTGGATCCCAGCCCCGCGGGCTGACGCCACCAATCCGCCTGCGCCACGTCGGCGGCGCCCTCCCCTGCTCCAAGAGACCAGCGCCCGACTCGTCTCTCTGTCGCTGAAATCCGAGTTCAAAAATGGCTTCCACAGCGCGGAAGCAGCCCAAGATGCAGTCCGCGCAAGTTCGACGAGCCACGCTGCTCCTGGCGGCCGCCCTGCTGGTGCTTACCGTCAGGCACGCCAGCCAGCCCACGGCAGGGTCCCCAGCAGTGCTGGGCGACCAGCAGGGCAGCAGCAAGCAGCCGCCGGGGTACACGCGCATCTCCATCTCCGCCGCTGGAGCGGTGCAGCGGCTGGAGCCTTGCAGCCTCGCGACAGAAGATCAGAGCGGGCTTCTTGCACCCAGCACGCACAAGAACAAGGTGGGGCCGGGTAGGGCATTTAAGTCAGCAGCAGCAGCGAAGCTGGCAGGAGTCGAGTGGACCCCGCCCAGGGGGCACCGCACGCACCGCACGCAGCCGCGCCGCCGCCCGCCTGCTGCCGCATCCTCTTGAGGCAGGCCGGGCAACCCCCGCTGCCTACCCCCCTCTGCAGATCGTCACCTTCATGCCCTTCAACACAGAGCTTGAGATGCTGGAGGTAAAGCTGATGGAGCTGTGGGATGTGGTGGACGCCGTCATCGTCGTGGAATCCACCCTCGCCTTCTCGGGCAAGTGGGCGCAGCGGGAACGCGGTTCAGGCTGGCTGGCTGGCTGGCTGCCTGCCTGCCTGGCTGGATAAGTTTGTGGCTACCTGGCTGGGCTTGAGGGCGGATGGTGGGCACGGGCCTCCCTCAGCTTCACCGCAGCCAACCTCCACATCTCCCGCCACGGGTTGGTTGCCCCCGCCGCCCACCGCTCATTGCCTGGAGCCCCTCACATCGCAGGCGCCCAGAAGGTGGCCGTGCTCCAGTCCCAGCTGTGCACCCCGCGCTTCGCCCCCTACCTCGCCAAGCTGGTGTATGTGCATCTGGACCAGGCCCTGCGGGACCCCGCCGGCGACGCCTGGGCCTGGGAAGCGGCGCACCGGGTGCGCCCGACTGCCCGGCTTACTGCTTGCGGAACGGCCAGGGCCTGCAGCCGGGCATGGCGCTGCTGGCAGCGTACTGCTCCCAAGCTGGGCAACCTTTCCCGTCAGCGCCATTGCCCAGCCGGCGCCCAGCCTGTCCTGCCCTCCCCTGCCTACCAGTGCAGGACTGCATGCACACGGTGGGCGGCCTGCTGGGCCTGCAGCCACAGGACCTGGTGCTGTCCGCTGACGTTGATGAGCTGCCCACGGCGGCGGCGGTGGCGGGGGGCGCCAACGCGGTGTGGAACGAGATGGCCGCCGACAACGGCAGCGCCCTGCTGCCCGTGGTGGAGTTCGAGCTGACCATGTAGTGAGCGTATGTGCTGCCGGGCGGGGCAGGTGCCTGCCTACACCCCCGCTCAGCAGCCGCCCAAGCGCTGGTGCCTTAGTGGAGAGGGTACACTATGCATGCTATACACAAGTCGTGGCCTGCTAGCCACCTGCCTGCCCGCTCACGGCTGCATCATCACTTGCATCGCCGCCCCGCCCGCCAGCCCTTGGCCCACGCCGCGCGCCGCCCCTGCCCTGCGCCCCGCAGCTACTTCTCCCTGTACCACAGGGTGCAGCCCTGGCCGCACTACGCCAAGGTCTACCCCTTTGCGGTGGGCGGGGTGACCAGCCACAGCGCGATGCGGGTGCGGCACGACCAGTGCGAGGGCTGCACCTACCCGCATGAGCACATCAAGGTGGGGAAGAAAGCGCGGCACGGCGGCACGCGTACGACCCTGGGCCAGGCATGCCCAAGCGGGCTGCGGCTGCATCCCAGGGAGCTGCGCGGCAGCAGCGCCACTCTGCTGCCCTGGCTCCAGCGGGCGTGCCCCTTGCGCTTCCGCCGGTACCAATGGTGCCATTCCGCTGGTGCGCCCCGCAGACCGTCAGGTCCGTGCCGCAAGCCGGCATCCACCCCACCTACTTCTTCGAGTTCGAGAAGCTGATGCAGAAGCTGCGCTCCTTCTCCCACTTCGACCACTGGGAGTGGGGCGCCGGCCAGACCGACGAGGAGCTCATCCAGCGGGCGCGCAGCAACCTGCGGGACAACAAGGGCTGGTTCGGCGTGGAGATGGAGCTGGTGGACCCCCAGCACAACCCGGAGCTCATGCCTTTCAAGCCCGCCGTGCGCGCCGCGCTCATAGCCCACGGCCAGAGGCTGCACGCCAACCAGCTGGGCTAGCGGGGCGCACGGCGGCAGGCGGGGCCGGTTCAGAAGGGGCTTCGGCGCGCCGCTCTTTACATGCCACCCTTAAACTATGCAACAACCGAGTGAGCTGGTGTGTGAGTCGATCTTCTCAACGGCACGCCCGAAAAGAGCGTGGGAGTGGGATGTACCGGGTTCAGGCTGCTGCCGCTTTGCCACCGCCAGCGCTACTGGCCGACCCTCAACTCAATCGCCGGGGCCTTGCATCGCCACCGCCACGAGCGAACGGAGCGAATGGCGGTACGGCGGCGGGCGGGCCTCCAGGGTGGCGTCCACAGGGTGCGCCCTGTCCCGCCCAGCCGCCTTCTCCTGCCAGGGGTGCTCCCTGCAGCAGCCACGCCGCGCCAGGCGCCGCCCCACATGGAAGCAGCGCGTGCAACTGTACAGTACGCTCAGGCACCGGTACCGACAGGTACCTAATGCGGGGCAAGAGGGCGGGCATGTGGGTGTGTGAAGCTTGCATGCCTGTACGCGGCCGGCAGCTTGTTGGGGAGCGGGCGCTCCCCGGTCTTCTCCTCCAGCAGGTGGGCAGTCTCCTCGTACAGCCGCCTGCAAGAAAGAGGCGCAGGAAATGGTCAGGGGATGGTGTGAGGCAAGCAGGCGCTCACGCGCAGCTGCGGGACGCTGCCGGCATGCTTCCGCGGGGGGGGGGGGGGGGGGGGGGGGGGGGGGGGGGGGGGGGCAGGGCGGGTGGCTTGCCGGCAGCTGTCGTCGCTGTGGGCCCGCGGGTTGAGCGGCACCAAGCGGGTGGTGTTGAGGACGTTGGGGCAGAACATGCCCAGATAGGGCGGACCGATGTAGGAGCCGCCCCTGCCTGCGGGCGTCCAGGGTGGCAAGAGGAGGGTGGCAAAGAGGACACGGCGGCGGCGGGGACGCAAGCTCTGCGGCTTCATGGCCTGCCATGCACGAGGCAGGTGTGCAGGAGCGCTGGCTGCCACCACATGGGCTGCCACCACCAAGGCGCCTGCTCCTGCACCCGCGCAGCGCACCGTCCAGCTCTGGAGCGCCTGCAGCATACACGAGGCTGTATGCGCCGCGGCTGGGGCTCTGCCCCATCACCCGCGCCGCCGCCGTGAACAGCCACGACGTCACCTTCTCTGCAGGCAGGCGGCAGGGGTGGGGGCGGCAGCGCTGGGTTGCAGGGCACGGGCAGGAGTGGGCAGGTGGGATGCTTCATGAGGGGAGGCTGCTGCAGGCACGCCCACCCGGGGCGGTCCGGTCGTACAGAGGCGTGGACACCAGCCCAGGCTGTGTGGCGAGCACGTCCACCCCAGAGCCCTGCATGGGCGCAGCCGCGGCTCAATGGACAACAGCTCAGGACAGCTTGCAGCCAGCGTCCTGCCATGCGCAATGCAGCCTCGGCCCCATTCCCCGCGCGGCCGCTCCCCACACCTTCAGGCGCTTGGCCATCTCCCGAGCGGACATGAGGCAGTACAGCTTTGAGTTTGAGTACTGCCACAGGTCGCTGTCGCGGGCCCACTCCCCCCTGCAAGGGAAGGGCAGCCGGCCAGGTCCCAGGGGTCAGCTGCGGCGCACAGGCGAGCCTAGCAGAGACGGCAGCCTGGTAGACAGGTGTTTGCCTGGCTGGCGCTCACCCGAGGTCCCCCCACTGCAGCGTGCCCAGCTGCTCAAACGCCGAGCCCTGCCAGATGATGCGGGAGGGGGTGGCGGCTGCAGAGGCAGGAGCGCGCGGCACAGAGCAAGGCCCCAAGTCAAACCCAACCACAGCAGCATATGGCAAACTGGGCAACAGGCCAGCTGGGGAGCAGGCACCGGCAGCTGATCAGGCAACTCGTGAGGCATGCCCATCGCCCTGCGCTGCACTGCACTGCGCTGCACTTCAAGCAGAGCTGGTAGGGCCGGCCGCGGGCCTGCCTATCAGCTCCGGCAGCAGCAGGTGGGCCAGGTAGAAGTGGCCCAGGTAGTTGGAGGCCAGGGTCAGCTCAAAGCCGTCGGGAGTCCTGCAGGTGGCACTTGTAGGCATCGGCAGCACACACTGCAGCGGGCACCGGCGCGCCTCGCCAATTTTCGACAAGAGCCGGCAGCAGCCGCAGCAGGCATCCGCAGCTCGACATCAGCATCAGCATCAGCAGCAGCAGCTGGCGTCAGATGGTGTTAACTAGAGGCTCAGCTGGCACCAACCACTCACTTCTTGTAGGGCCACAGGCAGCTTCCCGCGTTGAGCGCCAGCACGTGCAGCGGCACGGCCATGCCCTTGAAGGCCGCCGCAAAGGTGCGCACCGACCTGCGTTGGGGCAGGCATAGCCACACAGGGGAGACGAGGGGACACGCCGGGCGGCGTCGCTGTCTGCGTGCCACACGCTCCTGCTCTGGAACGCCGGCAAAGGCGCCATCGGCTCGGCTCCTCCCTGTTGCCGCACCGCCTCATTCATGGCTCACTTGAGTGAGGCAAGGTCGCACTGGAAGAAGTCCACTTTCGCTTTGGGCACAGCCTCCTGCACGCTGCGCAGCGCCCTGCAGGGGCAGGCGCAAGAGCAGCGGTTGCACAGCCGCCGTTGCAGGCGGTTTCCCAGCACGAGCTGCTCTGGCGCCGCCCCCCGTTGCCGCTCCCTCCTTCCAACCTCACCGCTGCCCGTTGGCATAGTCGTCCCCCAGCAGGAAGAGGCGGGCGTTTTTGGCGCACAGCATCTGCATAGGGGCCGGGCATCGCCCAGCGGCAGGTCGGGCGGGTGAGGGAGCGGACGAGCCAGGGTCTGTGCTGCAAGCTTGCTCCTGCTGAAACCAGACTGCCAGCCCACACAAGCAGGGCGGGGTGCCTGCCGGACGGGCCGGCCAAGGGTCGAGAGGTGCAGCAGGCGGCCAGTGCGACGCAGCAACCGAGGCGGCGCAGCTCCCCTCCAACCTTGGCTGCCTCCAGCCCCACTCCGCTGGTGCCGCCTGTGATGAGGATGTTGGTGTTGGCTAGGTCGAGTTCCCTGGGCAGCGGATAGGAGATGGTGGGCCCAGATGCCAGCGGCGTAAGCGGTGGCGTGGCCGCCGCTGCCGCCGGGGCGGCCTTGGACGGCGAGGAGGGGCGCCTGGGCGCCGCAGAGGTTGCCCCGGCGGCTGCCGAGGCTGCCGGCGGGGCGTCTGGCGTGGCGCCTGCTCGTGTGGATGTGGGCAGGGGGGGCGCATCCATTGCGTGACTGTCAAGAGAGAGACGATTTGTGCAGTTGCTGCAGAGACGAATTGTGTAGGTGACAAGAACAAGCAAGAGGTGCAACACGCAGGAGGTGCAAAAGACAATGCCACGGCGCTGCTCGCCGCCACAGCACGGCAAAGCGCGACAGGCGGGCAAAGCCAACCGCCCGAAAGCGCCAATCCTGGAGTGTCCTGGAGTGTCCTTACTGTCAAAGCGCACGCCCACGGGTCTCGATTCCGCACCGCCAGGCGCCCACCAAACATCAACTGCACACATTCCGCAAGTGCGCCGGCCGTAATGGGTTCAAGTGGCTTCGCTGCCTCGTCGCAGCAACTTACAGAGGCCGCTGTGCCGCTAGCGCGCGGGAGGCGCCGCCATGCCGCCGCCGTCGCCTGAATGGTGTGCTGGCGCCTTGCTGCCGGCGGCTCGCAGGGTCTTCCCTAAGAACCTGCCAGCCCCTCTGGGGCGAAGGAAATGGAGACACAGGCGGACCCACAGCAGCGCGCGCGGCAGCTGGCCCTTGCGGTGAGCCGCCGCACGATGCGGTGCCAGCAGGATGTGCCCCGAGCCACCCCGCACTGCACACCCAACACGTTGGGTCCTGACACACCCACCTCCCCGGCTGCCTCCGCCCTGCGCAGGTGCGCAGCCAGATGGTTCTGACTGGGGAAGACGAGGAGGTGCTGTGGTGGCTGCTGCACCGCCACGCCGCCCCCGCCGCCGCCGCCGCCGCCGCAGCGGCCGACGAGCAGGGCGACGGCGGCGCGGGCAGCTCGGGCGGGGAGCCGGGCGCCGAGCCCTGCCTCAATTACGACGATTTCACGCAGGCACGCCTGCCGGCCATTCCAGTGGAGTTGCGCTGGTGACCAGCTCGCCGATTGGCAGCAGCGCATGCAGGGTGGGAGGGACAGCAGCACGGCGGGGCTTGCTGCCACCCGACCACCTGGCCCTTGTCTGCCTGTCTCCCTGTCCGCAGGTGGCAGCCGAGTGCCGGGAGGCCATGGGTCCCAGCGCAGACGTCTACTTCCAGGTCTGGGGTGGAACCCTTCCTGGCTGCCTGCCCGCTGCCGCCGCGCCGCTGCATGCGCCCATTCCACGCTGCTGCCAGCCGCGCGCAGTTGCTTGGCCAGGCCAGCTCACAGCCGCTGGCCACCCCATGCCGCCGCCGTGGGCAGGCCTCCACCTTCCTCAGGCTGGCGCGCGATGCGGGCGGCTGCGTGCCAGCGGCCGCCATCTTCCGGTACTGTGCGGCGCGCTCTGCACAAATACAGCTGGTGGGTGTGGGTGTGGTGGGCTGGGTAGGGACGTGCAAGCTTAGCTGGGGGAATGCGCAGATGAATGCTGGCCGGCCAAGCGTGGCGGGGTGCAGACGTGCCCGCTGTGCTGCTGTTTGCTGGCCTGTGGTGCGCTCGGTGCTTGCTGCCCATTGGACGGCCTGGGATGGCTTGACGCGGCTGCTACCTCAGGACGCCCGCCCTGCTGGGCCGCCGCCCGTGCCCTGCAGCGGCTGGAGCTTGGCGTGTTGGACGGCGCCTGCAGCGGTGCTCTGTCGCCTCACCAGCTGCGCGGCTGGCTGGCTCGCCGGGCCCCGCTGACCGCGTGCAGCGAGGCGCTGGTGGCGGAGGGCGACTGGTGCGAGGCGGTGGCGGGGCGCCTGCTGCTGCTGCATGCGCGGCGCGGCAGGCTGCTGATCCGTGACCTGGTGGGCAGCCCCGAAGTACATGAGCTGGTCATGGCGCTGCACGCCCTGGAGGCGGCAGATGCGGCGGCGGCTGCGGCGGCGGCGGCGGCGGCTGCGGCACCAGCCGGGGTTGATGGCGGGCCAGGTGGAGGCGGCCAGCAGGGTGGAGCAGCCGGGGCAGCCTCGGCGGCGGCCCTGGCGGCCGCGGCCATCCAGCAGCAGCAGGGCTGGTTCTCTCCGGGCGCGGCGGCGGCGCTGCGCCTGCGCTTTGCTGAGCTGGACGTCGACGCGGATGGGCTGCTGAGTCAGCGAGAGTTTGCCAGGCAAGGGAGCGGCCGCGCCGCTCCTTGCCGCTGCTGCCGCCGCCGCCGCTACCCCTCCGGCTGCTGTAAGGCTGGCGCCTGTTTGGTTCTGCTCGTGGCTCTCCCCGCTGTAATCCTGCCTTTGTGGGACCTGCCTGCGATTCACTCCTCCGCCTGCCTCCCTCCCCGCTGCAGCTTCAGCCAGGGTACCATGACCCAGCTGGCCATCCAGCGCCTGTTTGCCCACCACTGCCGCGGCGGCGCCATGGACTGGCCAGCCTTCTGCACCTTCTGCGCCGCCTGGGAGCAGCGCCACCACCCCGCCGCCATCCGCTACTTCTTCCCGCTGCTGGACCTGCGGGGCGGCGGCTGCCTGGGCCAGGTGTGTGTGGCTGGGCTGGCCCGTGGTTTGGTTGGCTGGGTGGGGTGGGGGGGCAGGTGAGCTGTTGGTGCAGGGGTCAGCCTGGCTGGAAGGCCTGGCGGCCAGCAGTGCAGCATCCAGCCAGCGCGTGTGCTGTCCCAACCCCTGCGGCCGCCATGCTGCGCCCCACCTGGCACAGGGCGACCTCTACACCTTCTTCCGGGAGGTGCACGCGCTGTGGGTGGCACTGGGGCAGTATGCAGGTGCGTGCTGTGCGCGCTGTGCATGCTGCGCATGCTGCCCCTTGCTTTCCCTTGCCCCGTGCATGTTGCCTGGTGTTCCCCGGGCCGCCATGGGCACATGTGGCGCAGGGCCTGCGCCACATGTGCCCGCCCAGTGAGGGGACGCCCGCGCCTGCCAACTGCCTGCCAGCCGCCTGCCTGCCTGCCCTGCGCGTGCAGAGCTGCGTGTGGAGGATGTGCTGGCAGAGGTGAACGACCTGCTGCAGGCGCCAGACCCAGACAGGATCACGGCGGCAGGTGGGGTGGAGCAAGCAGGGGCAGGGCAGCTCAGCTGCGGTGATCAAACTGTGATTGCATGTGTTGGGGACGCCCACACTGCTGGCCTGCTAACCCTGCTGCCTGTCTGTGTGCAGACCTGCAGCGGTGCGGCGCCGCGGGCACCATCATCGGCCTGCTGCTGGACGTGAACCTGTTCTGGGAGTATGAGAACCGAGAGGCGCTGCTCCAACAGCAGCAGCAGCAGCAGCAGCAGCAGCAGGCGCAGGTGCAGACGCCGTAGCAATGGGGGCACCACACGCGGGCGCGTTGCTGTTGCAGTTGATTGAACCGCCCGCTGATCGTGGTCATGAGCTGGTGGTGCCCTCCTGCAACAAGCTGCCAGGGTACTTCCCGCCGGCGCCACAGCACAGGGGCCCGCCGTACCGCGCTGACATCACCATTCCAGAAACCCAACGGAGATCGCTGTAAACACCCATTCTCGACTGCTGATCACGGCGAGCTATCGTCAACGCACCAATTCACGCTCGAATCGCCAGGAGCGAGAGAACAGAGATGGACAAGGAGCCTGCTGACGTCTTTGCGGCGGGAGGGGATGTGGAAGAGAAGGCCACACCAGTGAGTGTTTTTCGAGGAGTCGGTAAACCGTCAACACGAGCGCGGGGGCGGTGGGGGAGTGGGGGAGCTGTCGGGCACCCCAGCAACGAGCCGCGCGGCGGCGTTTCGATGCTTAATGGACATGGTGCGAGATGCGAGATCGGCAGCAGGGCGCAGCTGCTGCTCCGAGAGCGGCAGCAAAGAGGCGTGCTGATGGTGGACTCCACAACCATACCCCGCCGCCGCTCTACCAGAGCCTAGCTCAGTTTTCAATGCGTTTGGCATGCCTGCAGGCTGAGGCGATGGGCCACGAGACATTGACGCACCACAAGGCGAGGTTGGAGGTGGGCCACACAGGTGCGCCGGGTGGCTGCGGGCGGGAACGCTGCAACGACCACCTTGTACCAGCTGCCTGCAGCACAGCCGAGTTGCTGCTCAGCTCATTTCAGCGCTTGCGCTGTTTCCTGAAGTCTGCACAATGCTAATTTGGCACTGCATTGATGCCATGAACCAGACCCCCAGCCTCATGCCCACAGCCCCGCCTCGCGCCTTGCCAAGTGCGCAGACTGCCGCCGCTCGCTCTTTTACCCTGCGTTGCCCTGCAGACGCTGAGCTGCTCAAGGAAGAAGGCGCCGACTTGCCACATGACACCATGGCCGGCCACGTTAGGCTGCACGGCCCTGCTGACCCAGAGGTCTGAGCGGCTGCCGGGCAAAAAGCGCCGGCTCGCCATGCGCGGCGCTGGGCCCTGTCTGACCCCAGTGGCATGTGTGGCAGGGGCTATGCAGCCTCCAACAGCGAAATCAGATCACCATGTATCAACAGAATTCCAGTAGATGTTGAACGGTCTTCAATCTGTCTCTGCGTTTGATGCACCAATCATGAGCTGCTGGTGTGCCGACCAGTGTGCCCCCAATTTTGCATGCCCTGTGTGTTTACTGCCATGTGATTGACTGCCGAGTAGAATGAAGAAAGAGCACGCTGTGGTACCGCTCAGCACCGCTCGTACATGTGCGCTCTGAAGGCCGCCTGCTCCGCCAGCCACTCCACTTCGGCCGGCAGCCGCTGCCTGGCGATCCTTGCCCTGGCACCGCCGTGGATGCTGAGCAGCCCAGCCCTGCCAGGGGTGTCGCCTGCTTTTGCAGTGCCGCTGCCACCGTCCGCCATGATGCCAAACTCGGAGCCGGTGTGATGGCTGCCTCCAGCCAACGGCGTGCCTGGGGCCAGCGGAGGCACGCTGAAGCTGCCATTGCCGGCCGCCTCTCCTGCATCACTGTGGCTGCCAGCGCTGGCTCTGCTCCCGCTCGAGCTGCCGCCGCTGCGGGTTGGCTGCCAGTCAACGGCCGCCTCGCCGCTGCTGCTGGCACCGCCCTCGCTGCCGCCCGCGGCCTCAGCCTTGGATGCGGTGACCCTCTGCTCCGTGGCGGGCGCTGCTGTTACGCGAGGGGTGGCGGGCTGGGCCCTGCCAGCGCTGCCGCCCCGGGGTTGTGTCTTGCCGGCTCCGCCCGCCAGCTTGAGCCGCAGCCCCGTCGTGGCGGCGCGCAGGTGCAGCCCCCAGGGCTGCTTGCTGGGTGTCGGGTCGGCCATGCTGCCTCCTTAGCCGGCTAGGCTATCTCCCCAGCTCATTCAATGCACGCAATTGAATGCACCACGGTCTCCGCCGCTGCCGAGAAGCCGGCATCACGCTGCGCCAACAAGCGCTGCTGCGCTTTCTTGGACGGCATCTCAAACGAGTCCCCCACGCCCCTTCGCCCTCATTTCCCACTCTGTCTACGACACAACGCCCAAGGCAATTCGCAAGCACGCAGCCATGGCCACTCGCGACGTCCCCTCCCACCCTGTGACTGCCGAGGAGGCCGAGCACCCCAAGGGGGTGCTTGGGAAGATCAAGGAGACGCTGGGCCTTGGGGGCGCCGGCGCGGAGGAGGGAGGCAAGACCGTGACTGAGAGCGTCAAGGAGACAGCCCAGGTTGCCAAGGAGAAGGTGACCGCTCCCGGTACCCCCGGTCGCGCGGGCGCCGTCGCGCCCGTCTGCCCCGCCTCCGAGGTTGGTGGGAGGGCTGGAGGGGCCGCCGGGCAGCTGCCGAGGCTGGGCAGGGCGGGCCCGCTGGGTGACGGCAGCTGTGCGCCGCCGCCGCCGCTGCCAGCTTGTGGGCGCTGCTGACGCGCTGCTGACCCAAAAGGCTGCTGCATGGTTGCCGCGGCCTTGGCGCCGGGTCCTCTAATGCCATGAGAGTGCTAGCTCGTTTGCCCCAGGCGGCTCCAGCGAACAGTCCCCTCTCCCCTAGGCCGTGCGCAGCCCCCCAGCTCCCGCCATAGCTCCCACCATCCCCTCCGGCGCCCTTCCCCTCCCCACCTCCCCACCGTAGGAGACGGTTGACAAGTGGAAGAAAGCAGAGGCGGAGACGGTGCGCGCCGAGCACGCCGGCACCCGCGCCGAGGAGGTGGCCTGCGAGGCAGATCGCATCGCGGCGCAGGCCGCCGCCGCCAAGGGCCTGACGTGAGCACTGGCTCGCGGGCCCGGGAGGGTCCGGGGTGGGGGTGGGGGGGCCTCGCGCTGGCCTGCTGCCCTGCTTGCCTATCGTGCCTGCCGGGCCAGGATCCCTGCCCGCTGGCCTCGGCTGTCCGGCCGCACTGGCCCTGCTCCTAGCCCCTCGCAGCCCACCGGCGTCGCCTGCTGCCTGCCTGGGCACGCCTTCACTCCTCCCCCTGTTTGCCCGCTCCCCTGCTGCCCCCGGCCTGCAGCGCCGACGCCGCCCGCCAGGCCGAGGAGCTCAAGGCCAAGCGAGAGGCGCTGGATGCAGAGGCTCGCCGCCTGGAGCAGGTGTGTGCTCAGACCCCTGGCCCTCGCACCCTCACTCCTCCTTTCCTCCTTGTCCCTCGCGACACCTTCTTCACCTTCTGTGCCTCTCTGCGCACCCTGAGGCACCCTGCCCCTGCCCCCGCCCCCGCCCCTCGCAACGGCACCCCGCGGTGCTGCGGGCCCTCCCCTGCGACACGCAGCGCCGCGCTGTGCTGCTTTGTGATGGCCGCTCCGGCGTGGGGTGGATCTCCAACTCACTTATAATTGCCTGCTGCCGCTGCACTTGTAATTGCCTGCTGCCGCTGCCTGCCGCCCTGGGCCCTGCTACGCCCCGCAGGAGGCTCGCGACCTCGAGTCCCAGCTGGAGCATGCCCGCCAGGTGGCGCAGCGTGCGGAGCGCCGCAGGTGCGGGCCAACACCCTTGGGTGGAACGCAGCGGTCATTGTGCGCTGCCCAGCGCGCCTGCTGCGCATCATCCCTGCTTGCCCTCCCGCCTGTTCCTGCCACGTCTTTAGTCTTGGCGCCGGGCCTGGTCTGTGCGCCTACGCCCCCACCCACCTGCTGTGCCTGCTGCGCCCACCTGCCTGCCCGCCCGCCTCTCCTTGCAGGGTGGAGATTGTGGAGGAGTCCAAGCGCATCGCCCAGCCCTCTGCCGAGCTCAACAGCGAGGCCGACAGGTGGGTTGGGTGGCGCTGAGCTGGGCTGAGCTGGCAGCACAGGCCGATGGGTGGGTGCGCCAGGGGTGGTGGTGCTGGGTGGAGGGGAGCATGGTTACGGGTGTAGCATGATCAGGCAGCGCCTTGTCGCCTGTCCATGCTGCTCCCCAGCGCTGCGATCCTCGCCCACACGCCCCCCTGCCACCCTCGCCCTCCCTGCCTACCCGGTCACCTGCCCACACTCGCCACCACATTCCATGCCTGTCAGCCCTGCGCTCCCTCGCGCCCTCTCCCTACACGCGTTCATGCGCGCATGGCATCACCCCCCCCTCCGCCACCACCCGCGACGCCACTCACGCCCCCCGCCTGCGCCTGCCGGGCCCGCCTCCCGCGCGCTGCAGGCTGGCGCGTGAGGCGCAGGCCATGCGGGACCGCGCCATGGACCTGGAGCGCCACATCCAGGGGCTGCGGGCCGGCAAGAAGATGAAGGTGGGGTGGAGGAGGGCAGGGGAGGAGGGTGGTGGTGGGGGCGCATGCGTGTGTGTATGTGTGTGTGCTTCTTTGGGTTTGGGCCAGAAAGTGATTGCGTCGTGGGGAGTCGTGGCCAGAGTGTTGTGCCGACCAGGGAGCACACCTGATTGCCTGCCCTGCTCCCCACCCCCGCAGGAGGCCATGCGCAAAGAGGATGAGGCGCAGCGCCTGGCCGCCGAGAAGGGAGACCTGCAGCAGCAGGTGGGGCGCGGCCTGCCAGCCGACTGTTGGCCTAGGCCTGCCAGCAGACTGTGTTGCTGGGACAGGGAAGGCCTTGCAGGCTCTCCCTGTGGGCCATGCCCGCCAACCCATTCGCCTGTTGCTAGCCTGCGCCATTGCCCGACGCCGCCCGCCTGCGCTGCCGCCTGCCGCCTGCAGGCTGCCAGCGAGGAGGAGGACGCCAGGCGCCGGGAGGAGCAGTCGGAGCGTCTGATGGAGGTGATTTGCGGCTACCATGAGGGGGCTCCTGGGTTGTATAGCTGGGCCCGGGCAGTGTGCGGCGCAAGCAGGCAGGCCAGGCAGGCTGGAGGCAACACACCAGCCAGCCCTTGATCGCTTGCCTGGATCCCCTCGTATCCCTCCATTCACGCTCACCCTTGCTTGGCCGCGTCCCCTGCTGCTCCCGCCGCAGGCGGCCCGCCAGGAGATGCGGGAGGCCGATGAGCTGGCCAAGCAGTACTGGATGGTGAGCTGGCGGTACAGTGTCCTGCCTGGATGTACCGCCTGTCCTGCCTGCCATCCAGTACCGCCCGCCGCCTGGACTTGCTCTCACAGCGGCCCGCTAGCCCCAGCCAGCGGATGCCCAGAGCCTGGAAGTTGCCAGCTCTGCCTGTCGGTGACCCCGTGCCTCCTCACCTCCCCGCGCCTTGCGCCGCCCGGCCCCTGCCCCCTCCTGCCCGCAGAAGCGCGACCGCGCCAAGGAGCTGGAGGCTCAGGCCAAGGGCGAGTCCGGGGCGGCCGCCTCCGAGGCGCGCTCCGCACAGAAGAAGCGCGTGACGGTGAGCTGCATGGGTGGTGGTGGGTGGTGGGGTGGGTGAGCTGTGTGCCTGATGTGCCCCCTGCCTCATGCCAAGCTGCCGCTATCCTGCCAAACCCCTGCAGGCGGAGCGCATGGAACGCAAGGTGGAGGCTGCGGCGGCGGCGGCGCAGCGCGCCCTGGAGGAGAAGGCGGCGATGGAGCGAGAGGCGCAGGCGCTGGAAGGTGGGGCGCGGAGTGCGCCTGGCAGCGCCCAGGCTGTCTTTTTTAGGGCAGAGAGACGAAACCACAGGACCAGGTCCCACCTCCAACACACCTTCGCGGCACGGCGCGCTTTGGCTCGCAAGGTTAAGCTTGAGCTTGCTGCGCTGCGCCTGCCCCGCACCACGTGGGCCTGCAGGCGAGAAGGAGACGTCGGAGCAGCGGGCCGCCAGGCTGGAGGCGGAGGCAGAGGCGCGCCGCGCGGCTGCCGGGCAGAAGGAGGAGGAGGCTGCCCGCAAGCGCACCGAGGTGAGGCGGCGCTGCTGGGTTTTATGGGACCTCGTGTTGCTGGGCAGGGCCGGGGGGGCTGCAGCAGGGGCGGGGGAAGGAGGCGAGGCAGGGGGCGTGCCAGTGGAAGCTCGCTGCCTGGGCTGGGAAGGCCGGCCCTGGAGGTGAGAGTGTACGCCCGACCCGGCTGCCGGCGCGTGCTGCCGTGCAGGCGGAGACCGTGGTGGCGCAGGGCCCGGGCGACACTTCGGAGCTGGAGCGCAAGGCGGTGGTGAGTGCTGCGTGCATGCGGCTGCAGCAGCGCCCGGATGCAAACCCTGTTCCTTAGCCAGGGAGCTTGTGGGTGGGTGTTCAGCAGAGCGGTCGGCACGGCAAAGGAGGAGGAGGAATGCCCCGAGCATCTTTTCGCTTCTCGGCCTGCGCTTGCGTCAATTAACCTGCTGACTGCTCGCTGCCTGCCTGGCCTGGCCTGGCCTGGGCCTGCCTGCAGGAGGCGCGCGAGGCTGCTGCTGCTGCGCAGGCCGAGAAGGACAGGCTGGCCCGCGAGGCGCGCAGCCTGGAGCAGGTGAGAGGGGCGCCGCCGCTGCTGCTGCTAATGACGATGATACTCTGCCCGCTACTGCCGCCGCTGCTGCGCTGCCCGGCACTGCCGGCGCTGGCGCCGCGGCTGCGCTGCACTCCACGGCCGGGCAATGGAGGGCATAGGTTCCGGGACCCTCGCCCGCAGGCGCAGCTTCTGCAGCCACGCCCGAGCCTGTGGTTGCTCATCAGCCTGCTCAGCTTGCTTGCTCAGCGCACGCTCCTGCCTGCCGCCTGCCACGGCGGCCGGGCTGCATGTCCCCTGCCTGTTGTGCAGACCTCCCAGCGCGGCATGGAGGAGAGCCAGGCCAAGGTGGAGGAGTTCAGGGCAGCCAAGGGTAAACGGGCAGGGAGGCAGGGAGGGTGTCCTTCCCTTGTTTTTGCGCGCTGCATGCTCTGCGTGTGGGCAGCGCTTCCCGTTGCACACTCGTGCACCTGAGCTGTGCAGCGAAGCTGCGTGGAGTGACGTTGCCGTCTACTTCCTGTGAAGTGCTGCTCCCCATCCTGCCAGTCCTGGGGTGGCGGTGCATGCGCACCCCCTGCACCAGGCCAGGGCTGGCAGTGGTTGCTCACCACCCACAGCAAGGCAGACGGCCACGCCCCTGCACGCCTGCCTCGCGGCGCCCGACGTGCCTGCCGCGCACGCTGCGCTGCCGTGGCAGCCTGGCTGGGCAGGCAGGCAGCTGCCTGCTCATCCGTGGTGTGGCGCCGTCTGCCGTGCAGGCGAGGCGGAGAGGCTGAGGGAGAGCGAGGAGGAGCACTGGCAGCGCGCCAAGGAGCTTGGCGACCAGGCGCGCCGCTCGGGGCGCGAGGAGGTGACCAGGCGCCTGGAGCAGGTGCGGGTGTGGTGCTGGGTGGGGTGGGTGAGCCTCTTGGGGGGCACGTCAGCCGGGGCATTCAGGAACAAGCCTCAGCAGCCTGCAGTGCCCTGCTGGCATGGAGCAGCTGCCCCGCTGGAACGACGTGCCCGTCCTGCACGCCCCTGCCCACCTGTCGCTGCCTGCCTGCCGCCCTGCCAGGTCGAGGAGTCGCAGCTCACCTCCGCCACCGCCACGACGACCCGCACCACCACCACCGGCGCCGCCGCCACCACCGAGGGCAAGGCCACCGGGGCCGAGGGCGGCGGCGGCGCCGACCCGAGCCAGGAGTACGGCGTGCATAGCGGGCGCAGCGTGGCCGACATCTACAAGGCGGGAGCCGACACGGAGGAGGCCCCGGACAAGGTGCCTGCCGCCGCTGCTGCCTGAAAGTGGTGCTGCTGCTGTGGACACTGCAGCAACTGCGGCAAAGCAGCTGTCCTGTCCTCTGGAGGCCTCTGCCGAGGGGACCACCACCCCACGCCCTGCCTGCCCGCGCCTGCCCGCCTGCCCGCAGTTCGAGGCGCAGGGGCACGAGACGCTGCAGCACCACAAGAAGTGCAGCCACGAGCCCGGCGCCACCGACGCAGGCGCGTGCGGGCTGCAGGCTGCTGCTGCTGCCGCTGTGGCCGGCGCTCGCGGCAGGGAAACTGCTGTTCCTCCCTGTTCCTCCCTGGACAGGCTGCCGCCTGTGGTCTGCTCCTAACGGGGTCCCCAACTCTCCTTCCTGCCCTGCCCTCCTGCCCCTGCTGCTAGAGATCACTGCGCTGGCCTCTCCTCCCTCCCGCCTGCCTGCAGAGCTGCTGCGTGACGAGGGCGCCGACCTGCCGCACCGCACCAAGGCCGGCAATGTGGAGCTGCCTGGCGCGGGCGAGAGCTGAAGGCGGCCGGCGAGAGTTGGACTGGAAGAGTCAGCGCTGCAGAAGCAGCCTGCAATACTGCAGTTAAGAGCAGCAAGGGCCACAGCAGGGCACTCAGCCCGTGGCTGAGTGAACCCACCCCTCTCTTCTTTGGGGCAGCTTTCCATCTGAACGTCAGCCCTGCTTTCTACAGATGAGCGTTGCACGTCCGTTTCCGTCTGATGTGTGTTGTCCCTTTCGTCTGATCTGTCTGTTGGCCCGATGATGCGTGTGAAAGGGCATATGCTTATGAAAGGGCACTCTTACATACGGTAGTACAACTGTGAGGGGGAAGAGGCGTAGGCCCCCCTATGGGCTGGCCGAACACGTACAGGTGTGTTGAGTGGGGTTCACTTGGGAGAATGGGCAGCGGGACAACCTAGACAAGACAGCAGAGGGATCAGTATTAGGAGGACAAGGACAGGGCAGGCCCGGGGCAGTTTGTGCGCAAATCCGCGCGAGGCGCTATGAGGGGCTAGAGCGATACTGCTCAGGCTGGAAGCAAAAGGATGGGAGACTCGCGAGCAGGAAGCAGCCGATGCTATAAAATTGACGACATGAACATGGATTCAGGAGAGCTGAGGGTGCAACGAAAGGGTTCTGGTTGGTTGGTAGTATGGAATTGCTCAGAAGGTGCGCGTGGCGCCTGTGTCGCTTCAGGAAGAAAGGATGAGATGAGATCATGCAAGGGATGGATGCAGAGGCTCATGGGTAGTATGTAGTCAATAGGGGCAGTAGTAGGCGGGTTTCTATCGAGTAGAGGATCGGGTTCAGCTTCGGTTAGTCTAGTCAGCATGGATAGGGGCCAGGCCTGGGCCGGCGCGGGCCAGGCCTGCCGCAAGATAGAGGTACAGAGATGGGTGCTACACCCTATGCGAGGCGCGATCCAAGGAAGCCGGGTGGGAAGGGCCTCCCCCGGCTTCGGTCTCTCTCTCTTTCTTCTCTCGAAGCGCGGTGCATCAGTACCCCAGATCCTCCAGGGTGGCGGGCAGCTCGCCCTGCGCCACCTGCGCCTGCACCAGCACAGCACAGCAACCCCGGCACCTCATCGTCAGCGGGCCTGCTGCAGCAAACTGCCCACTGCTGGCCCTGAATGGCAACTTGCAAGCCACGATACCGCGATACATCCTGGTGCCACACCATGCCTCCTTGCTTGGTGCAGGCCTGAGCGGCTCCTGCCGAAGTGAGCCCCGCCAGCCAAACCCACCTCTGGCTCATCGAGCAGGTTGGTCACAGAGAGGCCCTCCACCACATCAGGCGCCAGGAAGAGGCTGGGCGAGAGGAAGAAGAGCGGAGCGACCACGCTGGCAAAGCCAGCAAAGCCAAAGGGCTGCAAGGGAACAGCATGGGAAGAGCAAGGCGGGCACGTCGGCGCCTGCGCCTGCTGCGCCTGCCGCGCCGCAGCCATGCATGCCCATGTGCGGAGCAGGTGCGAGCATTCAAGATCAACGCAGACCAAAGCAGCAGGCCTCGTGCCCACCTGGTCATACGCGCCGCTCCTCCGCCGCTGCTCCGCCCGCTGCTGCTGCGCGCGCTGCTGGGCGCGCTGCTGCTGGGCGCGCAGCGCCGCGCGCTGCTGCTGCTGGCGCTGCTGCTGGCGCTGCTGCTGCGCGCGCAGGCGGGCGCGCTCCTGCTCCTGGCGTTGGCGGGCCCTCTCCTGCTGCGCGCGCTGCTGCTGCAGGCGCTGCTGCTGCTGGCTGGCCACCAGGCCCCTGCCCGCGCCCCCGGTCAAGCCTGTGCCACGGCTGCGCTGCTGCAGCGACGGAACATTGCGCAGCACTGTGGCCGTCCTGGCGCGCTGCACGGCGGCAGGGCGCAGGGGCACATGATCAGCCATCAGCGGGCCAGGCACGCGTGGCATGTGCAGGCCTGCTGCTGCCCTGCTGCCAGCCAGCAACGGGCCAGCCCTGCGGCTGGCCAAGGCTAGGCCTGGGCAGGCTGCGCTGCTCACCTCCTCCCTGAGCTGGCGGCGCAGCTGCTCCAGCTCCGCCTTGGCAACAGACAGCTCCTTGGCCCGCAGCTCAGCCAGCTCCCTGTCAGTCAGCTGCACAGCAGAGGGAGGGGCGATACGCACCACGTGTGTGGGTACGAGGTGCGAGGGTGGGTGGGTGCGTCGACACCGTTGCATTAACATTGCTGCTGGGCCGCAATGTTGTAGATTGAGGCGCGCTGGCGTAAGCTCTACGCGTGCACGACACCCCAGCCCCACGCCCAGCCTCCGGCAAGCATCGCGGCAGGCAGCTGAGGCGCACCATGCGGCCGTAGCGCAGGAACTGGGACAGGCTGAAGTCCCTGGGCAGGGCCAGCACGCCAGCCATGATGACAGACGCCGCCGCGGCGCCAAACTGCAGCCCAGTGGGAAGGGAGGGCGCGGCGTGACTGTGAGTCGCAAGTTCCCGCTGCGGTTGCCTGGGGCCGGCCGTGCGTCAAAGCAAGCAAAAACGCATGGCCACGGAACAGCGGCTCAGCCTGCCGGCCTGCATGCCTGCTGCTTTGCTAGCGGCAGGCAGCCAGGCGGGCGGTGCAGGTGCAGGAGCAGCAGCAGCAGAGCAGCAGCGCGAATAGCAGCAGGCCACAAAACTCACCAGCGAGATGTCGCGGCTGTTGCTGGAGCTGGAGCCGCTGCCGGGCTTGGCCTCCTGCTTCTTGCTGCTGCTGCTGGCGGCGGCGGCGGCGGCCGCCGGCTTCTTGCTCTTGTCCTGCAGCCACGGGTGCCACGTGACGGTTGTGAGTTGGGGCTGGCGGGGGCGGGAAGGGCGGCTAGTACGGGAATATTTAGTATTAGTAGGGCCTGGCGGCCTATTAGTATACCTCCCTGCCAGAACTCCCTCCCTCCCTCCCTCCCTGAACCGACCTGCCCAGACGGGCACATGGACCCCCCCCCCCAAGACAGCAGCCAACCACACAACACACACACACACACACACACACACAGCCAGCTACAGCCAAGAGAACACCACCTCCCACCTTCACCTCTGCCGCTCCCTGCACCGCCGGCTGAGCCGCGGCGGGCTGGGGCGCCGCAGGCGTGGCCGCAGGCCGGGCTGCAGCCGCGGCGGCAGGTTGCTGGGCTGGCGCGGGCACTGGCGCAGGGGCCGGCTTGGCTGCAGCCGCGGCGGCAGGCTGCTGAGCCTCAGGTGCGGGCGCGGACGCGGGCTTGGCTGCAGCCGCAGCGGCAGGCTCCTGAGCTGCCGCTTGCTGTTGTGCTGGCGCCGGCGCGGGCGAAGGGACAAGCTGCTCAGCCGCAGCCGCAACAGCAGCCGCAGCCGCAGCTGGCTTTGCCGCCGCCGCGGCGACGCTCTCGCCAGACTGATCAGCCTTGGGAACCTCCAGCTGCACCCAACAGAGCCCAGAGCGAAAGGAAAACCCCGCAGCAGCGCAGCCTGTTGAGCTAGGCTCCCCAGCGCACACAAACACACGTGTAGCTCCGCATGTGCACGGCTCGGATGGTAGGTGGGCTTCAAGACACGCACAGTATGGCTGAGGCTAGGAGCCTTGGAGACACGCTCACACAGCCCGACACAGTTAACCACACACACACACACCGACACGAGACGCAGGGCATTATTATGGACGCGGACAGACACACCCCATACCCGAAACACCTGCGACACCAAACACGACCGACCAACCAGCCACACACGCTCACACCACCCACATCACCCCGATGGACGCACCTCAGCAGAGGTCTTGAGAGGAGCAGGCTTGGCAGCCTCCACCTGCACCCGGGGCGAAACAAACACAGCAGCCTGTGAGCGGGAGAGGAGGTTGGCATGCAACAGCATCAAGTGCGGGCTAAACGAAAGCGGCGTGAAATCAGTAGCACGGGAATGGTGCCTGCAGCACGCACCTTGGCTGCTGGTGCTGGCGGTGCTGGTGCTGGCTTGGGCGGCGGCATGGAAGGCCACGACAGCGTTGCGGCGGGCTTGGGTGCCGCGGCAGCAGGTGCAGGCTGCGAGGCGGCGGCAGCGGGCTTGGGCGCTTCGGCCGGCTTGGCAGGGGCAGGGGCAGGCGCGGGCTTGGCGGGCGCCGCTGCGGTGGCGGCAGCGGGCTTGGGCGCTTCGGCCGGCTTGGCAGGGGCAGGCGCCGGGGCGGGCTTGGCAGGTGCCGCTGCGGTGGCGGCAGCTGGCTTGGGCGCTTCGGCAGGTTTGGCAGGGGTGGCAGCCGGCTTGGCGGGCGCCGCTGACGTGGCAGCAGCCGGGTTCTCCTGCTTCTGCTCAGCCTGACCAAAGCTCTTTTGCTTGAGAGCGTTCATCTGCGGCAGGCGCGGGACCAGCAGGGGCGCAGGCGGGTGCATCGATGGGCACACAGCGAGGCAGGCGCTGCTGCTTGCACGGAGCGGACTGAGCGGGCAGCGCAGCAAGCAGCCAGCATGCCGCGCATGGCCCTTCAGCAGCCTGGTGCCACCCAGGCCAGGCCCATGCGCCATGCACACAAGCCCAGCGCTGTCTCTCAGGGCGCCTCCTGGCGCACCTCTGGGGAGGCGGAGAAGGAGGACTTGGCCTTCCCATCCGCCGCGCTTTCCACCTTGGCCGCCGCGCTTTCCACCTTGGTCGCGGGAGGCACGCTGCTGGAGGAGCTGGGTGGCTGCACGGCAGCCAGCATCTTGCGCTGCTCCGCCGTCCAGTCGCCGACCTGCGAGCGGGACGGGCAGGAGGCGGAGCCGGGCAGGCTGGGGCAAACGGTGACCCTCCTCTCTCGTGCATTATCGGCACACCCTGCCACCACCACCCGGGTCTTGGGCTCAGCCCTACATCAGGCACGGCAATTCAAAGCCACTCCAGGGCGTGTTGAGCGGGCTCGACGCGCCGCTGCCGGCCAGCCGCCAAGCCACGGCGACCCTGCACACACCCCACGCACAGGCAGCCCACGCACCTTGCCCTTGATGGCATCCATGCTGGGCACGCCCAGCTTCTGCAGGCCCTGCGCCAGCGGGTTGGGCTTCTTGGAGCCATCCTCACCCGCCAGCTCCACGCTGGCAGCCAGCAGCACGGCGCCGGCGCCGGCCGCGACCGCGCCCGCCACGCCGGCCGCAGCCTTCTGCGGCGGCGGAAGCGGCAGCGGATGGGGGGGGCAGGCGGCGGTGAGGGCCGGGCGCGCGTGCAACGCGGCGGGCCGGCGGACGTGGGCAGGGCAGGGCCGCGGCGGCGCTGGAGGGAAGCAACTGGCTGAGCTGCGCCCTGGTCGGCAGCCAGCATGGGGCGCCCACCATTGCCACACCCCCGGCTAACCAGCCAGCCAGGCAGCCAACCCGGTGAGGGTGGTCCCTCAACCACTGATGCCCCCCGGGGCTCACTCACCCAGTCAAAGCCGCGCATGCCGCCAAAGGAAGGCGCCTTGTAGGAGCCGGCATAGGTGGGCGTCTTGTACGAGGCCCGCTGCGGCTGGTAGCTACCGTTGGTGTTCTGCAGGGCAGGCGTGGGTGGGCACCGAAATGTATGTGTGTGTGTGTGTGTGTGTGTGTGTGTGTGTGTGTGTGTGAGAGAGAGAGAGAGAGAGAGAGAAAGAGATGGGGACAGAGAGACACAAGAGCTGTGCGCCTGCCTGTGTCATGATGGCAGCGCCAGCATTCACACAGCAGCTCCACAGGCCGGATGCACGCGGCAGGCAGGCAAGCAGGCGCGCCGGCAGGCAGCGCCACCAGCCCTGCACTCCACCCAGCGCCGCTCCCCTCCCTCCTCACCCTCTGCGGCGTGGCCATGCGGGCCTGCCTGGGCTGGCCGTTGCCGTTGCCGTTCACGTTTCCGTTGCCGTTGCCGTTCACGTTGCCGTCGCTGCCGCCCTCACGCAGGGCGGCCCACCTGCCCTGCCTGCCCTGCGACCCCCGAGAGCCCTGCTGCTCCTGCTGCGCCTGCAGCGCCGCCATCTGCTGGTCCTGGCGCTGGCGGGCGGCCTCCGCGGCCTTGGCCAGCAGCTCCGCCTGCCGCTTCTCCAGCTGCTGGCGCTCCTCCTCCAGGCGCCGCCGCTCCTGCCGCTCCTCCTGCTCCTGCAGGCAAGGACGGAGCGGGCGCGCGAGGGCTGTGGCACAGCTGCCACGCAAAGCTGCCACGCACTGCCAGCATGCGTCACTGATGCAGTAGCCACAAACACTAGCAGCCTGCCCGCTCCCTCCCTGCCTCTCCCCACGCCCATCCTGCCCACTCTACCCTACACCTCGCCCAGCCCACCTCTGAGGACGGTGCCAGCCCCGCCCAGCGGCTCAGCGCGGCGGCCGGGGAGGAGGCCCTGGCCTTGTCCTCGCGCTCGCGGTCCCGCCGGTCCTTGGTGCGCTTGCGGATCAGAAAGTCCAGCTGGTCGGCCGAGAAGTTGGAGGCCTCCTCCTGGGACAGTATCCCGTCCGCCACGTAGCCGTCTATGTTGCGCAGCAGCGTGGAGGCCAGGGAGAGGCCGTTGCCGTTGCCGTTGCCGTTGCCGTTGCCGTGGCCGTGGCCGTTGGTTGCGCTCATGGCGGCGGCGCCCGGCTCTGCAGGGAGGATGGCAGGCGTGGGGTCAAGGGTGGGTGCGGGGGGAGGGTTGAATGTTAGGAGGGAGTGCGCGGCACTGTGAATGAATGGAGCGGAGGGTCGGCAGGGCATCACTGGAGGCAAAGCGCGCGTGCAGCACACTCTGCCGGCCCCCGTTGCCAGCAGGACATGCGGGCAGGCAGAGGCAGGGCACTCACCCTCGTCGCATGAAACCGTGAAGGCGGTGCGCGATGCCGCGACAGCCCCCAGCACCTGCAGGGTCAGACAAGAGTGGGGCACCAGTCGGTTGCGATGTTGAGGCTGCGGGCCGGCGCCCAGGGCAGGCGCCGCCGCCTGCTGCACCAGCTGGGCCCTGCTGCTCTTGCTGCCGCCGCGGCACCGGCAGGACAGACGCGCGGGCAGGCCTGCCGTCCGGCAGCCTGCGCGTGCCTGCAGGCTGCGGTTGGGGCCCCCCTCCCAGTCGAACGAGCCGTCCCCATTGGCCACGACCATTTTGAACTCGTGCCGCCCCGCCGGCACATCCAGCGTGACGTACCACACATCGCCATCAGACCAGTTCATGACTGGTAGGAGGGAGGGAGAGTGGGAGGGAGCAAGGGAGGGAGGGCAACGGCTAGTCAGCAGGAGAGGGGAGCGGCTTTTGAGGGTGGGGATCAGATTGCATTGTGCCGGCCCGGCGGGCTTGCAGAGAGGTGTTGGCGGCGAGCGCCGCCTCGCTGGCATGTGCGCCAGGCTGGCACGCCGAGCATCGCGGCCAGCGGCCACCCCTGCTCCTCACCTGGCGCTGCTGTGGGGTCCCAGTCTCCCATCTCCGCCGTGCCGCCCACCACTTTCAGCACCTGCCCAAACTGCAGGCGGCGGCATGCCTTGAGCGTGACGGCGGCGGTGGGCTCTGCTGAGGCGGGCGCCGTGGCAAGCCGCGCCTCCACGGCCACGCTAGTGCGGCCCTGCATATCACCGTGAAAACAGAAAATCAGGCACCGGAGAATTCGGGGATGGGCTCCCAAGCTGGGAGAGCGGCTGCAGCCCTGGGTGCTGGTTGCTAGACCATCCGACTCCCCCACAGAAACTACCGCCACGGCCCAAGTGCGGCGGCCCGGCATGAGAGGGTTCCCAACTCTCCCTCCAGCCATCCATTCCAGGCCCCAGGCCTGCCCATTGTGTTTCTGCCCAGCCCGGCCAGTCTACGGCTCCACGCCAATCACCTGCGCACGCTGCTGCCGTGGCGCTGGTCGGCATGTGCGGCCGCGGGAGCGGAGACCTGCACAGCAGCGCGGGGCGCCTACGTCGGAGACTGGGCGCATTTGGGCACGCACACGGCGAACACCGCCCTCGGGGGGCTCACCTAGCCCGTTCTTGGCCGCATGGGGCGGGCCTAGTGGTGCTGTAGGAGGCACGCTGGTGGCAAGCGCGCTGGCCTGCATAGTGCCAGCCTCGCCCTCGCAGTGGATCCCTGGCCTGTGATTGTGTCCGGGGGACGCCTGGGGGCCGAGAGCATGGGCGCCAGTCGAGAGCCTTTCCTTGCGCTGGCGCCCACAGCCTGCGGCCATCACAACCTACTACTACAACTCCACATCAAATCTTGCTCACGCGACCATGAATCAATACCCAGCCTTAATTTCGTCACTTGTGGGGGCAGAGCGGGGGGCGCGAGCCAGCCATGCTGCAACCTGGACCGCCATGCCGCCCATGGCCGAAGGGGGGAGAGCGGGCATGGCTGTCTAAATCACTTCGCATGCAGTACCAAAACGAATAAAACGGGCCAGAGCGCAGCGGGGTTGCGCCGGGATCCTGCCGCCGCCTTGCGCTCCCGCCGATATCTGCTGCGCCGCCGCCCCAGGCTGCTTGCTCAGCCAGGCCAACACCCAACTTGAAGGGCGTAAACCACCACTGTGGTGGCCGCACACCAGCAGTCCCGCCTGCCGCACTGCATGGTGCGCTTGATCCAGCATGTGCCTTACAGTGGTGCATTCGGCTACCGCGTGGCATCGATCCGGCTGTACAGCCAGCCCATCAGCGTGGCAAATGCGTCATCTGCCTCAGGGTCTAATCCCACCACCGCCTCTGGCAGCGACAGCGCCAGCGCGGTCTCGCCGCCCAGCCCGCCGCCATCGGCGCCTCCGCCAGCTGCTGCCGCCTCCTGCTTGTGGTCGGCCTGAATCTGTCTGAAGCGCTTGGCATAGGGGCGGTAGCTCGAGTACGTCAACCTGCAGGTGGCACCAAGCGGGCTGGGCCAGGGATCAGGGGGAGATTGCAGAATAGGCGGTACGCAGTCGCATGCGGGATAAATGATCGCCCATCTCGCATGCTGGCTGCCTCCCGAGCCCTCACTTGTGCCACACGCGCCCAAGGGCGCGCTGCATCTCCTGCCGCCGCTCCTGCGAGATCTCCAGCAGGATCTCGGGCAGCCTGCAAGCAAGCGCCTCGCCGTCGGCCCGCTGGAGCAGTTGCGATGCACGGCGTGCGCCCCCGCTTACCGCTCCACATCCGCCTGCGCCACTCTCACAGTGAACTGCTGAAGGTCAATGACAGACTCGAATGAAACATCAACCTCATCCTGCAGGGCGCCCCAGTGAGTGAGGGACAAGGGCAAAGTTTGTATCTTCAACAGACCAGCGAACATGGACATGCGAATCGGCACCAACACACTCCAGGCAGGAAGATGGGCATGTGGCATGGGGATGTGGAACAGGCTTGCTCAGCCCCTGCCCTCAGGTCCTGCGCACCATCACAATGACGGGGATGCAGCTGCAGGAGGAAAGAGCAGGAACACAGAGTGAGCACACAGTGCCGCATCCCTCAGCCTGCTGTAAAACAGCACGAAGGCAGGCCACGCAGGCCTGGCTGCGCCTTCCCCTCGCCGCATCCCGCCCTCATATTGCTGGCCGCTGAGCCTGGTGAGCCCAGGGGCCGCAATGAGCCCCATGCTGCCGGCGCCGGCCACAAGGCCGCCACCCCAGCCCATGCATTCACCCGTGCAGCGTGGCATCATCCATGCGCGCGGACCAGCCGTCCCCTGGCAGCACCAGGCAGAAGATGGAGGATGCCAGCAGCTGGGAGTAGTCTCCAGCCAGCTTAACCTCTTCCGCACCTGGGGAGCTGGGATTCCTGCGGCAGGTGTGGCACGGCAGGGTACACAGCAGGCTCAGCAGGCTCAGCAGGTGCAGCGAGCAGGCCACGTGGCGGTTTGACGACGCCGGTGTGCTTGGTGGTAAGGATGCGTGCGTGTGTGTGGCGTGGTGGCGCGTGTGTGAGTGTGTGTGTTGCAGGAAGCACAGCGGGACAGGAGGGCGGGCGTGGGAGGCGGTGGGCCTCCTTTGCTGTGCAGCCCGCAGGCACGGGTTCACTCCCGCTCCCGCCACGGCGCGCCACTCACTCTCCCAGCAGAATGCCGTACTTGTCCAGCCAGCCGTGCTCCTGGGAGGCGCTCCAGAGGCGCTGGCGCACGCCACGGGAGTACTCTGGCGCGTCAGTCTTGTGCTGCTCTTGCACAGGGGGAGGGAGGGAGGGAGAGAGGCAGCACAGCGGGAGTTTAAGGAGCAGCGGCAGCGCCCTCAGGAGCAGCGGCAGCGCGGCAGTACACAGGCGCAGCAGCGGGAGATGCGTGGGGCTCCCCTGCCTCCTCCTGCCGCCCTGCCTCCTTTTTAGGCCTAACCTCCCAGCCCCTGCTCCAGTCCTCCCTCTCTCCCTGCCTCCCGCTGCTCACCCGCCCGCGGTGGAAGGCCAGCCATGTGCGGTTGCGGGTGGGGGCGCCCACCAGCGGAGACTGGTGGTAGTGGTCCGGCGTCTTCATCAGCGGCAGCACCAGGTCCTGCACAGCGTGGCACAGCGTGGCACAGCATGGCACAGCATGGCACAGCAGCATGGCACAATGCGCGCACAGGGCGGCATACCTCAGCGCAGCAAAGCACACGCCTCGGCGTAGCGGCCGGCTAGCCAGCTCGGCGGCGACGTGCCCGGGGCGCTACAGCAGCAGCTCGACAGCTCGGGGCCGGGCACGCCTCCTGCTGCCGGCGCCCAGCCTCCTCGCCTGCCTGCCGGCCACCTCACCTTGACGGGGTCGTGGCAGGGCTGGGAGAGGTCCAGCTTGGCCATCGAGCCCTCTGGCTCCCAGTGAGGGTGAGACACGTTGAGGTGATACACGTTGCCCGGGAATCCGGTGCCGGAGGTGTGGTTGGGGTCCTTGCGGCCCCAGTGACTCAGGATGATGCTGGCGCTCTTGATGGCGGCGGGCACGTAGCAGCTGGCCTCGTCATGGGTCACCAGCCAGATGTGATCCCGCCCGCCCCGCCGGTCCCTGCAGGCCCGCCAGCCAGGCAGGCGGGCAGGGATGGGAGCGTGATGTAAAGCGAAGAGGGGCATGCTGCAGCCCGGCGGCAGCGCAACTGTGCACCAGAGGCAGCCCAGGGCAGCAGCCGCAGCAGCCTGTGGCAACCAGCCACCCGGCGCCTCATGGCCTGCCCACAAGGGCGCTGCACAGCCGGGCGCACCAGTAGGGGTAGTGCGCCCGCAGCCAGTGGTAGGCCTCCAACAGGAGGTTGGCGGCGCCCTGCACACGGCTCTGCGCCCAACCATAATAGAAGTCCCGCAGGCTGTCGGCAGTCGACCTGCGGGCGCCAGCCAGCCCAGCACCACACGGCCGCCAGCGTGTGTGGGTGGTGCAGGAGAGGAGCGCAGCAGGCATGCTGGCACCAGGCGCAGCCACGGCGTGGGGGGTGGCTACCCGCACGATGTCCCGTGGCGGTGCAGCGCCGTCCACCCTGCCAGGCCCGGCCAAACAGGCAGGCTCACCTCACAGGCCAGATGAAGCAGCTGGGGAAGACAGGAACGTAGAAGAAGTCTGCAGGCCAGGCGGGCAGGCAGGGCACAGGCAGGCAGGGGCAGGCGCAGCATGGAGCCAGCAGGGAGGGCAGGCGACTGCCGGCACGCCTGGTCGCCAGCAGGAGCCTGCTTCCACACCGCCCGCAGCATTGCACACACACACACACGCATGCACGCGCGCGCCGTCTTCCCCACAGACAGCAAGCAGGGCAAGAGCGGCTGACCCACCCGCTTCCTCGGGGTCCAAGGTGCGGTGCTCGCTCTGCAGCATCATCTCCAGCAGCCCAAACTCCAGGCTGTACGTCCAGGCTGCAGTGGGGTGGCGGTCCAGGTGGAAAGCAGGCGGGCAGGTGGAGCAGGCTGTGTGGCGGGCGCCGCGCGACGCAGTGCATGCCTGCGGGCCCATGCACGCGGAATGCACACCCTTTGCTGCAAGAGCGCACTTGACAGCACAGACTTGTTGCCAGGCTTGAAGAAGCGCGGCACGCAGTCCTCAGTGCCGAAGCGGTACTGCGCCAGGAGTGTGCCATAGTCGGCAGCCATCTCGTAGCTGTGGGAAGCCAGCCAGAAGGTGGGCAGGACAGGTGAGCGCGGCCCGGTGGGATGCACGAGGGTCGACGCACCGGCCCCCTGAATTCCCCGATCGCCTCGCCAAGTGAGCACCTCCCCAAGGCCACCAGCGACGCCTCCCAGCAAGGTGCCCCTGTTCCCTGCTACACACACACTCACACGAAGATGAGCGGCCGCCTGCGGGTGGCGCCTGGCAGGGGGTCCTGGGCTGCCGGCGTGTGCACCAGTTCTGCGATCCAGGGCTGCACGCTGGCCTGGCGCCCTGCAGCTGGGCGCACACAGGGGCAGATGGCATGCAGGGCTAGCCGACCTCATGCACACAACGTCAGCTGCCTGTTGCCATTGTGACAGCGGCGGGGCCACAGCCTGCCAGCGTTGGCGCCGCACCTTGCCGCGCAACGCCTGGCGTGGCGCTGCGATGGGCGCAGTCGATTCCGTGCCACCCTGCACCGCCACACCCGGGGTGGATTAGGTGAGGGAACACCTCGCGATGCCTGCCCCACCCGGCCGCCCCTTGCCTCGCCTGGATCACACTTGCAGAACCCCTTCAGGCACTCTCCCCGGCCGTTGCACTGATTGAAGCAAAACTGCAAGGGCAACGCAGCAGGCACAGCGTGTGTGTTTGCCTGTTGGTACGTAGGCATGCCCCCGCCGCGGCACGGCCGAGCTGCACCCAGCGCTGGGCTGCGGCTGGACTTGCCGGCTGCCTGCCACTGGTCCACCCACCGGCTCGATTGGTTCATCGCAGTATGGCCCTCCCCAGCCTGCACAGCACAGCACGGCACAGCACAGCACAGCACAGCACAGGCCGCCGTTCGCAGGATGCAAAAGACATGTTGGTGTACTTGGTACGCGCTCCCAGCTGCTGGGTGGCGGCCCCGAGCCCAATCCCCACTGTCTCCGTTGCGAGGCGTGTGGCGCCTAGCGCGGCATCCAACCCACCGTCCACGATGCATGCGCACAGGTGCTGCGGCTCTGGCGCGTTGCACCAGCCCTGCGGGCCAAACAGCTGCTCCGGGTCCACTGTGCCCCACGCCGTCTCGCGGCCATCCGGCAACCGATTGGGCTGGCAGTACTCAAACATGGGGCGCCCCTGCTGCACCGGCCTGCTGCCTGTGGCAGGGAGAGCAGGGGGCACCAGTTGCCCAGCGGGGCGGTCTCAGAGGCGCAGCACGCAGCACTGGGGTGGAGGGCAGCGGGCTGTCGGCCGGCTGGTGGTGCCTCCCACCTTGTGGCGCCTCGGGCGGGGCTGGAATCCGGCCATAGGTGGTGTTGGAAGGGCAGTAACAGGCTCCAATGTCCTCATCGCACTCGCCTGCAGCAGGGGAGGGCCCGCCTGGATGCGCCAGCAACGGGCAGCACAGCGCCTCTGCCCGCCAGGCCACCCACGCCTGGGCCCCGGGCCCACTCACCGGCGCAGTGCGACCTGCTGAACTGCCAACTTCCGGCGCGTGGCCTGGCAGGCCCACACTCAGGTTAGCCGGCACGCGCTCCACGTCAAACCCATACTCCCGGTGCTTGTGGGTGCAGTAGCGCTTCATGGGGTGAAGGCAGTTGAAGCCCGTCCAGCCTGCACATAGCCCGGCCGTGGGCGCGGGTGCCGTTGGCAGGCTGGATTGGAATCTCACAATGTGGGGTGCAAGCCAGGGCAGGCGGAAAGGCTGACCAGAGGACCTGCAGGGCCAGGCGGGCACGCGCTTGCCTGCTGGGCAGGTGCAGAGGCCGGCGAGGGCGTTGCACGTGCCGACCTGCACCAGCCAGGCGCATCCAGACAGGCATGTGTCAGCGGTGGCGGCGAACCGGCTGGGTGGAGGCGCCATTTGGCAGATAACATTTTAAAGAAGCAGGCATGCCAGAGCAGGGGAGCCCGCACCACATGGACCAGCGCAGCTGCCCCAAAGCCCCTCCCAGACCTGCCTTGTTGCAATCCAGGCTGCAGCTGCGGGTGCCTCGCGGAGCACTCCGTGCCGGCACCTCCACCTGGGTCTCAAAGTCCAGGCACCAGTTGCCCAGGGTGCCCTCACACCTGCGCCTCATCTCTGCCGTCGCCGCCTGGGGGCGGGACTGCACGGCGCCGTGCCTGCGCCCCTGCTGCCGCAGCGGTTGCCTCGGCGGCTGCAGACCGCTGCTGCGGCTCGGAGACGCCCCTGCGCTGCCTTGCTGCGTTTTGGATGGCACTGCTTCCCCGAGGTTGCCATGTAATGGCTGCCACGCCTGCCAGGAAGGCAGCAAGGAGTCGTCATCAGGGCGGCAGCAGCGGCAGGCGGTAGCGGCGGCGGTGCAGCTGCAGCCCCCCAACCTCAGCGCAACGCAGGATGGCATCGCATCCAGCCCCCAATCACCATGGGCAGCCAGCCGCTGCGCCAGATGGCCACCAGGAGGACGACCAGGACAGCGCCAGCCGCTAGTCTCCCACCGACCCCGAGTCTTGATCGCCGCTTGATCATGATCGTCATGTGGAGCAATCACTGATGAGAATCTTCATGCGCCTGGCTCCAATCAGTATCATCAGAGCCTCGTGACTAGTCTGGCTCCAAGGGGGAGGCCGAGGCAGCCGCAGCACGGAGGCACGACCCACATTTCGCTGCGAAGGGGCTGCCGCTCCGAGCGGTGAGGCGCAGCAGCATGTACCGCCGAACGGGCGGAAGGTACGGCGGCAGGTACCTGGCGGTTGCGGCCCCAGGCTTTCGCCGTTGAGGCAGACAATCTGCAAAGTTTGCGTCACTTGAGGGGGACACTGGATACACACACACTCGAGGCCGTTGGTGCAGGAAAATGGCCACCGCAACAAGCAGCTCGTTTGACGCGCCTGTCGTCGCCGCACCCTGGTGCCCCTTTATCCAAAACTGGGTGCTAACAGCTGATCACGCAACACAGTGTGATATAATCATCAGTTCACACGGCGCTTTAATCTCAGAGCGCCCGCTCGTGCGCGCGAAGCGGGTGGCCGCCAGCTCAGCGCGCGCCGCCTGCGCTCCCCTATGCTCCCCTATGATAGGCCAGTCTGCTCTCTGCGCCTTCGTGATCAGACCCTCGATACAGCAGCAGGAATGGGTGGCAAGCGGCTCACCAGCGGGGCGGGGCCGGACTTCAGCCAGCTCCACGAACTCCCGCTCCTGGCCTGCTTGGAGAGGGCGCCGAGCGTGCCCTCCTTCCTGCTGGAAGGGGCCCTCAAGCTCACCTCCAAGTGCGCCCACGAACCTTACCCTCGCAGGGCTGCCAGTTCTGCTGCAGCTGCCCCTCGGCCTGCTGTGGAGCGGCCCCTCTGGGCTGGCCAGCACAGAGAAGCCCTGCCTTGCCTGCAGGGGCCCCGTCGAACGCGTGTGCCGTCGGTGGCGGCGGCTGGCTCTGCAGCTGCCGGCCTCGCTGGAGCTCGACCTGTGTGAGCTGCACGAGCAGTTTGATGAGGCTGACGAGGTGCAGGCGGCGCTCGACGAGGTGCTGCCTGCGCTGCGCCAGCGAGCGGTGCGCAAGCTGGAGCTCAATGGCTGCACGTCTGTGCTGCCACGGCAGGCGCCCGCCCTGCTGGCCCGCGCCTTCTTCCCGCAGCTGCGCAGGCGAGCTCCCACGCATGCGTGCTGCAAGTACATGCCGAAAACACGCGCGAGCGCCGGGGCTGCATTGCTCAGCAGCGAACAGCGCACGATGCCCGCTTCCCAGCCTCCCTTCCTGCCCTGCTGTGCCCACGTGCAGGCTGACGCTGGCCGGCGGCAGCCTGCCCCACTTCTCTTCCTACCTCTCCCACTGCCGCTGCCTGGAGAGCCTGGAGCTGAGGATCCCGGACCTGGAGGAGGGAGGGATGGAGCTGGTGGGCACTCACCTCAGGTGCCCGCTGGCCTCCCGCCGCGCTCCCGGCCGCCCCGCCCCGGTCCTCCCCTTGCGTCTCCTCCCCAGCCAGCCTCTCTCAGCTATAAGGTCCCTTGCAGCCTCCCTCCTTGCCAAACAGCCTTCCTCCCACCTCCCTGCCGCAGCGGGCTGGAGCCTCAGCTGCGCCTGCTGTGCCTCTCTTTCAACGTCCCGCCGCGGCTGCTGCTGGCCTGCGTGGCGTCGCACGTGCGCCCCGCCGCCGTGGCGCTGAGCACCCACTCCGGGCCTTGCGCCTGGATGTGGGTCCCGCAGCTGCGCGCCCTCAGTGTGTACCTGCGCGATGGCGGCCTAGGCGGCGACTGCGCCAGACTGGGCCAGGGCATCGCCGCCATGCCCCAGCTGGAAAGCCTGACGGTACTGGACGTGCGGCCGCCCGCCTCGGCGCCGCCGTACGTGCTGCCCGGCCTGGCGGCGCTGCCGCGGCTGGCCAAGCTGTCAGTGCAGGGCAGCGTGCCGCGGGGGGCGTGGGAGTGCCCGCACCTCACCGCCCTGCTGTGCGCGGCGGTGTCCCGCCTGCACCTGCCCACCCACGCGGGCCCGCCCCAGCCGAGGCTGCGCTGCACGGGCCTGCGCCAGCTGCGCCTCGTGGACTGCAGCTTTGAGGCGGAGGCGAGCTTTCCGTCCACGCTGTGCACGCTGAGCCAGCTGACCAGCCTGGCACTCCTGTGGAACCACGGCGACATGGCGGCGCCCGAGCTGGCGCAGCTGCAGCAGCAGGCGCGGCTGCGCGGCGGGCTGCTGGGCTCCGGCACCCGCAGCGCGCTGCCCCCAGCCTTCTCGCAGCTCAGGTGGGCGGCAGGCTCCGGCTTGGCCGCATGCAGCGGGACAGCTGGGCTGGGGCGTGCCTTGCCCTGGGGATGACCACGATGCCACTATTTTAATGTCTCACATGCCTGTGGCATCAGTGTCCCAAGTCGATATCGATACCCTCAACCCTCCCGCCTGGCAGCCCACCCCTGCCCTGCAGCGCCCTGCGCCAGCTGGTCATCCACGAGGCCAAGCTGGACAGCGCCAGCGTGGAGGCGCTGCGCCCGCTGGGCGCGCTCACCGTGCTGCGCCTGCCGCGCTGCCAGCTGCAAGGCCTGCCCGACGGGCCCTACCTGGCGGGCCTGAGCAGGTGGGTGGGTGCTGCCTGCAGCCTGGCAGATGCTGCCGACGCCAGCGCTTGCCTGCTCTCTGCTGCTGCTGCCCGTGCTGCGGTCGACTGTGACGTTCGTGCCCGCCCCGCTTGTGCAGCCTGGAGATCGGCCACAACCCTGGCCTGGACGAGGTGGTGCCCCACCAGGCCACCGCTGCCCGCGGCCTGCGCGCTCTGAAGACCCGGGTGCCGGCTCACTGGACCGTGGAGGAGGACTGGAGTGACCTGCAGGTGACCTGCGGGTGTCGCCATGTTGCATGGTTGGGCATGACTGTGATGGTGCTGCATGATCCTGTGGCCCGCTGGATTGGATGATCTTTTGACTGCCGACTGTCCCCGCGCGCTGCGCCTGCAGAGGAGGCTCAACTGCCTGCCGTGCCTGCAGGTGACCCCTTGTCACGGCTGTCTAGCTGTGGGTGAATGCACCCTGGTACTGCATTCTGATGGATTGGAATTGCGCTCTCACCCCTGGCTCCCCTCCGCCCCCCCCCGACCTGCGCAGCTGCTGTGCCTGGAGGCGGCTCCCGGCTTGGATGACGAAGAGTGGGAGGGGCTCAAGGAGCTGCTCAGGCCCTACCCTTTCGAGCTGCACGCCGACTGCTGCGCCCTCGACCTCCACCCAGAGTACAGCGGGCTGGCGGACTTCACAATTGAGTCGTCAGCGGCGGGCGCCCCCTAGCTCGCTCCCCTGCTTTCGCCGGCGGCGGGCGCGCGATACCAGACTCGCCCGCTGCAGCTGCTTCCTTTCGCATGCCCTTTGCTCACCTGTTTCGTTGTAGATATGCCAGGCACTGTAATAGCAGGTTAGGTTGAAGCTGACATGTAGCTTGAGAGGCCGACTGATCTGAGATCCTCGGATCACTTTGAAGGCGACAGGGCGGCGGCCCCGCCGGAGGCGCCACCTCATCGGGGGCTCCCCATCGCGTCTTGCAGCAGTTGAGACCCCGCTGCCGAACAGCGGCGTGCTCCCTTATCGGTATGAGCATGGCCCAGCGTCCAGCCCCGCCTGGGCACGACTTCAGCTTGCTGCCCGACGAACTCGCGATTCTCTGCTTGCGGCAGTGCCCGGAGCGCACAGTCTGCCTGCTGGGAGAGGCGGTCACGCTCACGTGCAGGTGCGCCGGTGTCCCGCTCGCCGCCGCCAGGCCCGCCGCCCACTGCGTCACCGCCCCGCCGCCCTGCCCTGTGTTGGTCCAGGGGCGCGGCCGAGCGCGTGTGCCGGCGCTGGCGACAGCTGGCGCTGGACCTGCCCGCCACGCTGTCGCTGTATTTCTGTGAGCTGCACGATGATGACAGCGAGGATGAATCTGCGGGAGGAACCGCCGACCTCGCCGCCACTCTGGCCGCGCTGCACACGCTCCTGCCCGTCCTGGGCCGGCGCGCAATCCACAGGATTGTCGTGCTGGGGTGCACGGTGGCGATGCCGCCGCAGGCGCCCGCGCTGCTGGCCCGCGCCCTGTTCCCGCAGCTGCGCAGGCGAGCTCTCACGCATGCGGCCGCCTCGCGCTTGCTTGCCTGCCCACACAGACGGCGCCGTGCAGAGTGCAGAGCCTGGCGGCTACCAGCTTGCTTCAAGCCCCATCCCTGCAGGCTGACGCTGAGCGGCAGCAGCCTGCTGCACTTCTCCTCCCTGCTGTCCCACTGCCGCCGCCTGGAGGAGCTCGACTTGCGCATCCCCGGCCTGGAGAGCTCCGGTGCCGAGCTGCTGGGCAGCCACCTCAGGTGCCGCCACCGCAGGCGGCAGCTCGTGCTGACGCCACCCGCCTTGCGCCGCGTGTGTTTGGCATCCTGGCATCCATGACGCCAGCACGCCCATCTTTTCCACAGCCATCACACCAAACCCCCCTCTCATCAACTCTCCTCGCGCCGCCTGCCGCCTGCCCTCCCGCCCGCGTGCAGCGGCCTGTCGCCCCGGCTGCAGCGCCTGGAGCTGACGCTCCACGAGGCACCCAGCCAGCTGCTGCAGTGCATCCGCGAGCATGTGCAGCCTGCGGCCATGGCGCTGGCCACCCACGCCGGCCCCACGGCCGCCATGTGGCTGCCGCAGCTGCGCAAGCTGTGCATGCACCTGCGGATCAGCACGCATGTGGGCCTGTTCAACCAGGGCTTGCTGGCGCTGTCGCAGCTGGAGACGCTTTCGCTGGCAGACGTGCGGCCGGGCGTGGTGGGCAGCACGGCGGCCAGCCTGCCCAACCTGCAGCGCCTGCCGCGGCTGCGGGAGCTGGTGGTGGCGGGCAGCGTGCCCGCGGCCGCCTGGGCCTGCCCCCACCTCACCTCCCTGCTCTGCGGGTCGGCGGCGGGCATGGTGCTGCCGCACCGCGCGCCCGTGCGCTGCACCGCCCTGCGCCAGCTCATGCTCCGGGACTGCACCTTTGCCGGCGACTGCTCCCTGACCGCCCAGCTCGGCACGCTGGCCGCGCTGACCAGCCTGGCGGTACTGCACGTCCGAGACGGCGACCGCCAGCAGTGGCAGCTGCTGCACGGCGGCACCCTGGGCTCCGGCACGCGCAGCGCCCTGCCGCCCAGCTTCTCGCAGCTCAGGCGAGCGGCAGGCTGCTCATGTGCATGCCCGTTGGGCAGCAGTCCGGTTTTCATTTCCTGCTTGATGTGCGGTGGCTGACGAGGCCGATCCGCCCTCATGCTGACCCAATCCGCCGACCCTGCAGCGCCCTGCGCCAGCTGGTCATCCAGGAGGCCAAGCTGGACAGGGCCAGCGTGGAGGCGCTGCGCCCGCTGGGCGCGCTCACCGCGCTGTGCCTGCCGCGCTGCGAGCTGCTGTCCCTGCCCCTCCGGGCCCTACCTCGCGGGACTCCGCAGGTACGGTGGGCGCTCACCCGCATGCTCCATGCACTGCATCCCTGTGCCTTTCCCACACAGCAGGCTGCCAGGCGCCTGCGGTGTGACGAGGGGCGGCTGCACACCCTGCAGCCCAGCAATGCAACCCCTGCTACCCTAGAGCTGCCCCCGCTGCAACCCCCAGCCTGATTCCCTCCCAGCCTGATCCACCCTCCCCACCATATCTGCAGCCTGGACATCTCAGGCAACTTGGCTCTCGACCAGGCGCTGCCCTTCCACGCAACCGCCGCGGGGCGGCGGCTGCGCGGCCTGCGCACAACCTTGCCGGAGGACTGGTCGGCGGCGCGGGACTGGCAGGACCTGGAGGTGCGCGATTGTTTATTATTATTATGATTGTCTGATGTTTGCCAACGGCGGGCTGCCAACGCGGTGTTCCAGAAGGGATGCATCGCTGGCCCAGGGCCGGGCCCGACCTGCACCGATGCGCAGCGCTGGCCTGTGCCATCCCTTCCCCCGTCTGCCTGCAGACCAAGCTCAACAGCCTGCCTTGTTTAGAGGTGAGCCCACTGTGCACGTCAGCGGCTCCCCTGGCGCAGCAGGCCCATGCCTGCCTGCCGCCGCCGTCCCTGGCGCCGCTGTCGCCTCCTCAGCTGCCTGGCCTGCCCAGCGCTCCCCTGCCGCAGTTCCTCATACTGCACTCGTCGGGGCCGGGGTTGAGCGATGACCTCGATGCGTACGAGGCAGCCAAGGATCTGGTGGCCTCCAACTTCCGCATCCCCCACTTCTGGCCCTGCCCAGGGGCCGAGCTGCCGGAGGAGCTCTCCGGGCTGGCCATCTTCGACGGCTGACGTGCCGAGGCGGCGCCCGCTGGCGGCCACTCGGCGGCCTCGACGGCAGCAGCGCTGGAAGTTGCCTGCCTCCTGAACATTGTTGTGTTGCTACCATGCTTAACTTTCCCTACTCGTCAGCAACAACACCACAAGTCACCTAGTAGGCGGACGCTTCTCAGCCAGCAGCGCAAGCAAGCGGCGGCGACACGCGCGGCATGCCGCCAGCTTGGCACTGTAAGGAAATCGCGTTAAATGGCCCTCTTCTACCCAATCACCAATCCAGGCCTCCGCGGGTTGCAGGCTGGGCCGGGGGAGCGCCTGAAACCTGCGGATGAAGCCATGGGCGGCATAAAGAACCGGGATGCTAAGCGGGCGGCCAACAAAGTATTCTCTGTGAGTTGTTGTTCGTGCTAGGAGATCCAAACCGACGGCAGGCGCTTTATGACGGCTTCAAAAGTTATGGCGGCGCGCATGTTTTGCTGTGCGCAGCCCGTCAGCATGCTGGATTGCTTCCATCTGTCTCCGGTCTCCGCCTGGCCGCGCCGACGCCCCACCCGCCTCTGCCGCTGCAGTCGGGCGGCGGTGGCGGCAGCAAGGGCCCCGCGGTTATCGACAAGCGCGGCCAGGAGCTGCCCTGCCCGCACTGTGACCGCATCTTCAAGCAGGCCGACCGCCTGAAGCAGCACATCCAGAAGCAGCATGCTGACGAGCCAGCAGCCGACGCCGACGCGGCCGGCACCTCGGCAGCGGCGGCGCCCGCCGCTCCCGCCGCTCCCAAGGTGCTCGCCCCCAAGGCCGTCGCAGCCGTGGCCGCAGCCGCCTCTGCCGCCGTCAAGTCGCTAAACACGGCCACCACCAGCGGCGGCAACGGCAACAGCAAGGCGGCGGCCGGCTCCGGCGGCGGCGCGGCCGGGTCTGCCACAGCGGCAGCAGCGGCAGCAGGCCCAGCGCCTCCCCCTGGGCCCAAGCTCATGGACGTGAACAGCCGGGCGGGATACTACGAGGCCAAGTCACCCAAGCTGCTGCTGCACGAGTGGTGCCTGCGCGAGAAGCAGCCGCGGCCGCGGTACCGCGCCATCTCCGCCGAGGGAGGGCTGTGGAAGTGCAAGGTGGGCCTGCAGGGCGCCGCCATTGCTGCGGCTGCGGTCGCCGGGCCGCCCTGCTGGCTTGGCAACGTGCTGCGCGGCTGCGGCAGCTGCAGAGCGCCCGTGGAGCACCGCTTTGCTGGCCCGGCAGCGCGAGCCGCCTGCTTGCCTGCCGGTCCCGCTGGCGCGGCGTCGTGCAGGTGGTACTGCCCCACCCCAAGCAGCAGGACAAGGATGTGGTGGTGTTTCTGGATGACTCCCAGGCGGCCCCCAGCGAGGACGAGGCGGAGCAGCGCGCGGCGGTGGCGGCGCTGCACCGGGTGCAGGGGGACCGCTCGCTGGACCGCGTGCTGCCGCGGCCGTACGTGCAGCAGTGGAGGGAGCTGGACCAGCAGGTGGGGCGCCGCGCTGAGCTGGCGGGCAGCGCTGAGCTGGCGACGAGGTGGCGCTGGCGCTAGCTCTGTTGCTGCGCAGCTGCATGCCGAGAAAGGCATGCAGCGCTCCTGCTGGCACCAACGCTTTGGCCGGTCGCCGTGCCGTGCCCTCACCTCACTCGGCCGCCCCGCCCCGCCTTCGCCCCTTCCGCAGCACCAAGAGCGGCAGCGGCGGCAGGCGGACGCCGCGGCGCGGCAGCGCCAGCAGCAGGAGCGCCAGCGCGCGGCGGCCAAGCGGCAGCAGCCCACCGCCGTCATCATGGCTGACGACAAGCGCAGGTGAGCTGGGGGGAGGCCGTGTTTCTACGAGAGCGGGCGCGGGCTGAGGGCTGCAAAGCCAGATCTCTTTGTGAGGCTCTGTTCCCTGCCGGCTGCCCCCTACCTGTGTTCACAGTGCGGCTGCTCGCTGCTCCGCCTTCCTGTCCGCCACTGGTCTGCAGGCTTGTGGAGGGGATCATTTCTGGCCTGCAGTCTGAGGCAGCGGCCTCAGGCGACGCCGCCCTGCCGGCAGACGGCGGCGAGGCGGATGGCGGCGGATGGGCCAGCCTGGACGCACCCTCCCTCGCCGGCGCCGGCGCCGGCGACGATGCTGCTGCGACCCGGCAGCAGCACGCGGCGGCGCTGGTGGAGGAGCTGGTGCTGCTGGGCTTCCAGCAGCAGGATGCAGCGGCGGCGGTGGCGGCGGTGTCTGGCGGCGGCGGCGGCGGCGGCGGCGGCGGCGGCGGCGGCGAGGAGCTGTCGCTGTCAGCGGCGCTGGACTGGCTGTGCGTGCGCCTGCCCGAGGAGCGCCTGCCCAAGAACTTTGCCCCGGGCGCCGCCGGCAAGCCCATTGCCGTTCTGCTCCGCGCCGGTGGCGGTGGAGGCGGCGGCGGCGGCGGCGGCGGCGGCGGCGGCGGCGGCGGCCTGGGCGGCAGCCGGGGCGGCAGCTTTGCGGCGGGGCTGGATGCGGCGGGGCAGGCGGGCGAGGAGGAGGCAGCCTGTGATTTGCTGGAGGATCCAGCGGTGGCTGAGCTGGCAGAGTATGGGTACCCTCCCCGCCAGGCGGCCGCGGCACTGGAAAGCACGGGCGGGCACGTGCACCGCGCGCTGGCCGCATTGCACGCCCGCCTGGCCGCGGCCGCCGCCGGCTCGACGCCGACGGCCGCCAGCTCGGCGCCGACGGCCGCCAGCTCAGCGTCCAGCTCAGCGTGCGACGAGCTGGGCGAGTGGCGGGAGGAGCGGGAGGCGCTTGAGGCCATCTATGGCGATGATGTGAGCTTTCTATCGGAGCGCCTCACCACGCTGCAGCTGCCGCTGGAGCTGACGTCAGCGGCCGCCACGTCAGCGGCGGGCGGCCAGCACGAGCTCACGTTCCGCCTCGACTTCCTCGCCCCCTCCTCGCCTGCTGCGGGCGGGGACCGCGGCAGCAGCGGCGGCAGCGGCAGCGGCAGCAGCAGCGGCAGCGGCAGCGGCAGCGGCAGCGGAGGAGGGAGTTTGCCGTACCCGCATCGGCCGCCGGTGGTGGGGGTGCGCGCGGCGGGCGTGCCCGCGGCCGCGCTGCTGACGCTGACGCGCCAGCTGGCAGAGGCGGCCGCTGAGCTGGCGGGGCACCCCATGGTTTATGAGCTCGCCTCCGCCGCCGTGGAGCGGTTTGAGAGATGCCTGCTGCAGCCGCTGCCGCTGGCCCGGCTGCTGCCGCCGGCGGGCGCCAGCCGCGCGGGGAGCGGCGCTGAGCTGGCACAGCAGGCAGAGCGTGCGCTGCGCCTGGAAGACATCCACAACTCTGTGGTGCCGCCCGCTGAGCGGCAGCGCCGGCAGGGCGGCGGCGGCCGCGGCGGCGGCGCCGCCGGGGCCGGCCTGGCCGCCGAGAGCCGGCGCCTGGCCGCGCACCAGGCTGAGTTGGAGCGCAGCGGGGAGCACGCCGCCATGCGCGCTGTGCGCGCTGCGCTGCCCGCGGCGGCCCAGCGCGGCGAGGTG